TAGTGAGACTGAGATGTTATTAATGTGATATGATGCGCTGCTAGTGTGCCAGTCACCAGTTGGCAGTGGCAGTGGGGGTGGTAGGGTGAAGGACGAGGTAGACGATACGCAGGGCAGTATAGCATTGGGAACTATCTGTAAGAAGGTTGGTAATTGTTAAATCATCTTCCTAATATGACATAAAATTATTTAAATTTAGTCAGGCTGCATAAAGCGAAGTCTACCAGAATTCTATGGGCGCATTTCATATTGATTATCGATAGTGGCTGCCCATCTGTCAAATTGCCGAGTCGTGCGACTCTCCAATAGCGGATATTTGAACGGTTTAGAAACTGAGACTCGCCGTATAACAATACACTGGTCATTATAAGAATTCATAATGCGTTTACTAGAATATTCTATTTGATGCTTGAGTTAGTACTTGCTTCGTTAAACCTTTCTCTAAGGCGACTAAGCAATGCTCAATAATATTTAGCATGCACCACAGCAGGACGGTTACGTGTGCCTGTTCAAAGAGGGCGCTGGCAAATGACTTCAGAAGCGTTACTTTTGAGGCTCTGCTTTGCCAAGCCAAGGCTCATATAACTTATTTCTTATAATATCTTTTCTGTTAAAAAGTGGCTTTGACTGTTTCGATGTTTATAGTGAAGTACAACAACATTTTGCAGTTTACTTATAATTGCATAAATTTCTGCAGATCAAGTCAGCATCACCCAATTCGACGCATCACTATTCCATTCTGCTGTTTTTTCAGCGTAGGTGTTTTCGTGAGTTCGCAGTGGCTAACGCGTCCGAACGCTGTGCCTAGCTCCGTCTCTCATGCGGACATCTCACACAAGTGATCGCGCGACTTGGAACACGCATGATATGCCACGGAACGCTTGCCTGCTGATTGGCGTAAATATACAATATATGCATGCTGCGTCTATGCCTTTCATCGTCCTCCTCCGCTCTCTCTTCCTTTTGCTCTCTCTCTCTCTCTCTAGCTTCTCTCAGCACTTCATCACCATCCTTAGGCTGCTCTCTCTCTCTCTTCTCTCTCTCCCTCTCTCTCTCTCTCTCCTTCCTCCTCTCTCCTCTCTCTCTTCTCATAAAACTGAAAATCTCTTCTCTCATTATTCTCTCTCCTCTCTCTCTCTCTCTCTCTCTCTATCTCTCTCTCTCCTCCTCTCTCTTCTTCTTCTCTCTTCTCTCGTCTCTCTGCGTCTTACTCTCTCTCTTCCTCTCCTCTCTCTCTTCTCTCTCTCTCTCTTCTCTTTTCTCTCTCTCTCCCCTCTTCTCTTCTCTCTTCTCCTTTTACTAAATCTCTCTCTCTCTTGTCTCTCTCTTCTCTCTCTCTATCTCTCTCTGTCTCTCTCTCTCTCTCTCTCTCTCTCTCTCTCTCTCTCTCTCTCTCTCTCTCTCTCCTCTCTCTCTCTCTTCTCGTCTCTCTCTCTCATCTTCTCTTCTCTCTCTCTCCTCTCTCTCTCTCTGCTTCGTCTCTCTCTGCTTCTCTCTCTCTCTGCTCTCTCTCTCTCTTGCTCTTTGCTCTTCTCTCTTCTCTCTCTCTCTCTCTCTCTCTCTCTCATCTGTCTCTCTGTCTCTCTCTCTCTCTTCTCTCTCTCTCTCTTCTCTCTCTCTGTCTCTCTCCTCTCCTCTCTCTTTCTCTCTTCTCCTCTCTCTCTCCTCTCCTCTCTCTTTTATCTCTCTCTCAATCTCTCTCTCTCTCGTCGGTCTATTCTCTTCTCTGTCTCTCTCTGCTCTTCCTCTCTTCTCTCCTGCTCTCTCTCTCTCTCTCTCTCTTCTCTCTCTCTCTTCTCTCTATCTCTCATCTCTCTTCTCTCTTCAGCTCTCTCTTTCTCTCATCTCCCTCTCTCGTCTGCTCTCTTCTCTCTGCTCTGTCATCTGCTCCTTTGACTTCTCTTCCTGCTCATCATCCTCTCTCTGATCGTCAGTCTTCTCTATCGCACACCAGCTCGTAGCTCCGCTCTCTCTCTTTCTCTCTCTCTCTATTCTCCTATTCTCTCTTGCTCTCTCTCTGTTCTCCCCCTCTCTCTCTCCTCTCTCTCCTCTCTTCTCAGCCACAGACAAACGACACACGGCAGCGACAAACACACACGGGTGGCCACACGACAACACTGCTTAGACTTCTCTACTCTCTAACGGCCATCACACACCCAACCACTCCAATGCACAACATTACCTCC